TGCAACCTCCACCCTGCCCCCAGACACTGTACACCCCACCCCCATACACCCCTGCAACCTCCACCCTGCCCCCACACACTGTACACCCCATCCTGCCCTCCACCCCTCAGCCCAGTACTCACACTCCATACTCCCCCCAACCTCCTCTACACAGCATGCCCCCTCCCCACATCCTCCAACCCTGCCCCCTGCACCCCTCAGTCCTCTATACACACACTGCCCCCCACACCTCCTCTGTGCAACCCACAGGCTCTCTCTCGTCTCAACTCCAAGACACAGCCTCCCAGTCTTCTCAAAACACCCCCCTTTCTCCCCGAACACCCTACACTAACCTCCTACACCAGTCCCCCCCTTCAATTTCACACCCCTGCCATAGGGGGGATACGGGTTGTAATCATGCCAACACAAAATGCTGCATTTCTGCTGCAGACTCAGGGATTTGCATGGTGGCTGCTGAAAGAGCTAGGACAAGGGGAAATGTGCCCATATCCCAGGGAGCTACATCAACAACCCCTCTGGCTGCACAAACTAGGGACAGAGCCTCTGTCCATAACCCCTAAAATCTATGGCCAGAACCTCCGGTCAGAGGTGTTGAGGACTCTGTTCTCTGATCACTGTTAAGCATCTGCTTTGGGCCTAGCAGTACAGAAAGTAAATATGTATGGATTTTGAGTCAAACACTGACTTTAATGGGCTAAATGCTGAGTCTGCATTTTCCTCACTGTCTGTTTTTTCCTGATTGGGAAGTTGGTGTGCATCTGTTTCCGGACCCATTGACTCTTCAGCTGAGGTTCAAATGCTCCACGCCTGAGATGGTTTCCAGGTGCTGCAGACAGGGACAGAGAATTACAAAGAATAAAATGTAAAAAAACTCCAGAGCACCATTATCTGAATGGCACTGAGATACAAAGTTGTGTTTTTTTTTTAAATTGAGAATTAACAAATTTTGATAAAATTAAAAAACTCAGGCTCATTCTTTTGGGCCCAGCTGGAGAAACTTTTCAATGAAACAATTATCCAAAAAAAATCAATAAATATTAAATTTTAAAAAGGCCTTTTAGTAAAACTTGCAAGCTTTGTACTCCACGTCACCAGCAGTCAGGAAATGCAGAAGTTAGGGTTCCAACTGCATTACCTCCGCTGCCTTGTATAGTTGCCTCTGCTGCATCCTGTATAGTTATGTCATGTCATAAAATTACACAGGTTGTGCAACGCAGCAGAATTAATGCTCTTCTAGGAACTGTAGCTTTTGCCGTTCCTGACCCTTGGTTAATAAGACCCTGATCCATCAAACATTCAAACATCTACCTATGTACCTATATTCTCATGAGCAATTTTATGGCTTTAATTATTGTATAACACATTTTTAAAACATTTAATTTCCTGGGCTTTTAGAAGAAAACTCCTTAAATCCTTTCAATTTTTAAGATTGTTCAAAATCCTTAAAGCAAGGTATGTCATTAAGGCAGCATAAGCATCTAACCACTTCAAATCCTCTTAAACTACTCTAAATATCTAGAAAAGCAGAGCGTGCAAGTTGCCAGTAGCTTGGGAGTCTATTCCTGAAACTGGACACATGCCAGCCAAAGATTCACTTCCTTGAAGCTCCATTAGAACATCTGCTCTTTGAAACACTTTTTGACGCACAAAAGGAAATCCTGTTTTGGAAAATTTTGTTTGTTTCATGAATAATGAGGTGACCAAAATAATTATTGTGCTTCTAGAAAGTATAAAAAAAATAAACTTCATTGAAGCTGTTGGATATTTTCATACTATAGGTAAAATAATTTCCAATTGCTCTAAAGTGTACATACAAGGAGTTTCTTAATGGGTTCAAAGAAAAAATGTTAAAACTACGAGCACGCCTTCCTTGAAGGAAGTGTCAGCATTTACAAGACATTTTGTTGAATTACTGCAGGTGACTGGATATTGTGCCACTCACTCACCATCAGCCCCTCCCAAATCAGATGCACAACCAGAGATCACACTGCAGCAAATAAAATTCTGCTGATTTTGACAGAAAAATGCCATTAAGGGATGCAGCCCTGATCAAACTTTTTTTTTTGAACAAGCATGAAGTACAAATATTTAAACATCTCATATAATTTGTCTTGCAACAGATTTTAGAATCTTCAGTATTTTAAAAATGTGTTAGACAATCCTGTTAACTAATTATGCAGCCCTTGTGACATTGTTAGCTCTGTGCTCCTTCTCCTTACCCAGCATCTGCTTAAACAACATGTCATTTAATATAACAAACTTTTATTTTCTTTTGCATTTTAAGTGAATTTAGTGCTGATGAAATTTGCCAGACCTATTCAGTTTACAAATCCATCAGAGTTCAGAAGAGTTATAGCATTTAGAATCTGTCTAGCAAAGCTCCGAAGAATTAAAATCCCTTGGATAAATGTGACCCCCAAACCTCTCAGTGTCAACTGATACGGAGGTTACAAGAAAATCCTGATTCAGGTATACCAAAAAATGTCATGCAAGATGTCAAAGGAAAGTTGGTGTCACACTGCTTATGAATATCATCATAAAATGTATGCACTGCTACTATGGAAGGACTTACATACATACATATATACATATATATATATATATAACTGGAAATATGTTCTTTCAGTTTGTACCAAGGTGCTAATCAGCAGAGGTGAAAACTGGTTTTCTATCCACCCAGAGATATTTATCCATTTATCTGTTGAAATGTACACTGAGTATTGTCTGGTTCACAATCATCAGCAGGAACAAAACACAGATGAAGGATTGTGAGATTCAACAGGAAGAGAAGAACAGCAAAGGGAAAATAGCATTATCGGGGGTGCACTTCAAAAGGTTTACAGCACTATAGCTGGGGGGACAAGGAAAGCACCCTGTTATCCTGCACCTAGGAAATAAACAGATGGCACATTTACATTCATGAAAAATGGGATCATAACCAGTCTTGGCTGGAAACACTGCAAAAGGCTGTGTGTGAGATAAGAATGCTTTAGACAGGAGGTTAGCTTGTTTAGTCTCTAGAAAATTTGTATTGATTTGTTTGATATTTAACCATTTTTCCACCAATAATCTTACTCACTATTCACTTGAATCTTTGCATCTCTATTTTGTTAATAAACTTATTCTTGTTTTCACTACAAATATATCTAAGTATTGTGTGTTCTACAAAGATATAATCCTGGTGTGTATACTGTCCATTTGGGAACAGCTGAGCTGGTAATTCTTTGAGTGTTCAGTATAAAAGAAGCTGGATATGACAGGGGAATGCTTCAAAGTAGCTTGGAGACTGAGGTACATTTACTGTTAACCTGGAGGGAAAAGTAAAGGGCTGGCATAGCCCACAGGAGATTGTTTGGATAGGTAATAGGCTGGTGGTGTCAAGGAGCTGACACACAGTTAAACACAATGAAGTCCTGAGCACCCCAAGAATGTCACAATAAGTCACTAACCAAATGACCCAACACTCTCTAGAATATCTTAGCCTCTGTCAGGTCCTTTTCATTTCTTTCTAGCCAGGTTTTTGTTATAGGTGTGTCTATCATTTTCAGTTCACATCAATTCTAGTGGATTCAGGTTTTATACCATATCCACTACTGTAGTATTCGAGTGTCATCCTCTTCCTTATTTTGTTATTTGACTGAGATTTTAGGGCTAATACCCCATACTTCTGCAAAACGTGCCATAGGATCTTTCTTGACCAGGCATTGCTGGGCCTTACTTTTTAATGGCACATCCAAAGGGGGGAGGGAGGGAGAAGAGAGAGAGAGAGAGAGAGAGTGTGTGTGTGTGTTTTGAAAGCGATGCACAACAATGCTGACCAATTCACAGTACAGAGTCTGAGGAAGTTATAGAACCTGCCTTCCCTTGCAAGTGACAGGAGGCTGTGAAAAACATCCCCTTCTAGATGAACAGGGAATGTACATACTGGGGATGCCTCTAATTCCCACCCTACAAAATGTTTCACTGACATTTCTGGGCAGTATTTCCACTCATTTTTTTATGCTGACAATCTCCGAAAAGATCTTGCTGCAACTAGCACTTTCATTTCTTGCACACAGAGAACAAGGAAGGGAATCAAGCCCTTTGTGAATTTGTCTTGCTGCGCATTAGTGTTGGCTACCAAAAGAAACATTGCAGCAGAGCAGGAGAAAATTCAGAGAGACATGTTTTGCTGTCATAGAAGGGGTTTGCAATCTCAATGAATTTATGCACTAAATTCAATTAGAACCTAGTTTTGAATCATCAGGAATAAAGCTCAGTAAGGAT